TGTTTTCAGTTGGTACGAGAAAACTGAGCATGACAGGCTCCATTCGAAATTTTGAAAAAAAAAATTCCACTCCAAAATTACGTATTTTCGTGTCTCTCAAGGTCAAACTTCCAGACATGACCGACTGGCACAAAAACAACAACTCAGAATTGCGATATGACTTTGATTAGGCTAAAAAATATGCGAACGGCATAAACGCGTGTGCGAAAAAGACGTTACCGAGGATGGTTGGCATGGTCTTTCTTGCCTCAAAGTTGCAGGGAGATTCGCTAGGCATTCAAACCTGAATGCCCTTAAAAAGCAGAGTTTATCTTCTACTCACATCCCGTCTGTTTTAGAACCACGACACCTCTACAGGACCGATCAGAAGCGATCAGACGGTTTGACTCTCCTTCCATGGGCTGTTGGTAAGCAGCTCTTGCGGGATGTAACGCTAGTAGTCTCCTTAGCTCCTTGTAGGATTAATGCCAGGTCTGTTTGTAACCCTTGGCACGGCTGACTCTGAAGCGGAAGAGCGCAAAATTGACAAGTATAAAGATCTTGTAAATGATGGATATCTTTTTCAACCGCTAGCTTTTGAAATTCAGGCCGCGGCCGGCCCCAGCACAGAAATTTTTTGAGCAAGCTTTGTAAGAACCTAAGCATATGCACTGAGGAACCCAGAGCAGGCAGCTTTTTAAAAAAGAGAATTTCCCTGGCAAGACAGATTGCGAACACCGCTTGCGTACTCGGAACAATAAATGACAAAATAATTTTTTTTTGAAATTTTTGACGAATTTTTTTTTGTAACACTTGTATAGTTTATTTTCTCGTGTCGAGCTGCGTGTTCTTATTGAAAAACGTAACCCGTATCGATTTTAATTGAAAATGACTTAAACACTTGTCTTCTTCTTTTATCATTATCACTTCCATGTCTAGAAAATTCCAAGGATTTTGACTGGAATACGTGATAAAGGGACTCCTGACTGTAACCTCGGTTACTATGATACTTTTGACCTTCCGATTACCTTTAGAAAAAAAAAATTGCTCTTAGACTATGTAAAAATTTCACTGAAATTCAAAGGAAATGTTTGACATTGAAAACAGGCATTTAAGAGAGTAAAATTCTGAATTTGCTCTAAATTTTGTTCTCCAGTATACTTTAGATTGAAAAGAAGTTACGAAAACGGATGCATTCAAGCTTACTTTTTTCTTATAAAATTTTTTAAAATTCTAATGCGTACCTTAATAAGGGCCACAAAACGTTTTTTGGTATTCAGGTACAAAGATAGAAAACCAGCCCTCGAGGCAATGGTAGCCCAAACAAGTATTTATAAAAGAAATTTAAAAACTTTTTTCTCGAACAATGGAAAGTAAAATAAACTTCAGTAGGACATTTGATTGCGTGCTCTGAATTTACCAACCATCTGTAAGTGTTTTTTGTCACCGCTTTTGCTCGAAAGATGGCTCAATTGGTTATTACGAAGGTAGGATGTGAGATTGCTCAATTGATCCTATTATTTTTCATGGCGACAAATGAACGTGCAAAATATTTGGTGGAGAAAGAACTCGGTTCTGTCGAGTTTACATCGAGTTTACCTCGGGGATAGAGGATCCCTCAAAGTAAAGGTTTTGTCCCCCCCCCCCCCCCCTTCATATAGATTTTAAAAACTAATGTGATGTCATAATGCGATGAAACTTGGCATGGTGAACGGATAAACAATTGGAACATATTTGTTATTCATAGTTTACAGTGTAACTTCACGCGCTTAGACAATTCTTTATTATTTTTTTATTATATATTTAAATGTGGGCTTCACTATCTCGCCACGTTTAAGCATTTTCAGCGTATTATTTTTGCATGTTTAACAAAAGTGATGGCTTTTTTCAAAAAAAGTTTTCAGAAATTAAAATTTAAAGTTTCTGAAAATTTGAAATTACCAGCCCTGTAATTGGGTGCTGTCAGATTACACTCAAAGGATGCAGATCTTGTTTTCAATATATGCGGTTTTGCATGAGCTGCTAAAATTTTGAAGCACCGGAGGTGCGCTAGACGCTAGTAATATTTTTAAATGCGGGCTTCACTATCTCGCCACCTTTAAGCTTTTTCAACGTATTATTTTTGCACGTTTAACAAAATAACCTTCTTTTCACGTTTATGTTTAGGCCGAAAAGAACCCAGCATTGAGCTTCTCTGCCACCTTGGAATAGCCGGAGTACATCTCATCTAATTAAATGTCTTAAGACAGCAAGAAGAAGATATGAAGATATACATCCAAAGGTTCTGAAACTGAAATCAATGCTGGAAAAATGCTGTGGAAATGACAAGATAGAATATGAACAAAATATAGCAGCCGAGAGATCAACTGGGAAGCTTTTTAAATATTTCAGGGCCTTCAAAAAATCAAATATTCCCAGCCTTGTTTTTTATAAAAATGAAAAAGCAGAAAATGACAGTGACAAAGCCCAACTATTTTCGAAGTTTTTTGGATCCGTTTACGTACAATGTTCTGAATTTTATGAGCCTTTTCAAGATTGATCAGAGAATCGTTTTCTAAGCAACCTAACATTCGAAGAAACTGAAATCGAAAGCATATGCGAAAAACTAAATGTCAATAAAAGTAAAGGGCCCGATGAACTACCACTAGTGCTTTTTCGGAAATGTAGAAAAACGATTTCCCATTCACTTTTTCAAATCTTTACTAAAATTCTACAAACTTCTATCTTTCCAGACTTGTGGAAAAATGCAATAATCAGTCCGGTTTTTAAAAAGAGTAATAAAGCAGACATAGAAAGCAGACATTTATCTCTGCCCTTTAAAATTTTTGAAAGAATTGTCTTCATTCGACTATATGATCATTACAATAAGATTTTTAACAAAACTCAGTTCGGATTTTGAAAGAACCGGTCAACAATTCAACAACTCCTGACCTTTCTAAATGAAACATATAAAGGAATCGAAAATGGAGAAGAAATTGAAATTATTTTTACAGACTTAAGCAAAACTTTCGATAGAGTTGATCATGGAATTTTGTTACGAAAATTGTTTTCAAAAGGAGTCAGCGGTAAACTTTTTTAACTGATCAAGTCTTACCTTACCAACAGGCATCAGATTGTTCGAATAAATGGTAGAGTCTTCAAGAGAAAAAGTTACCAGTGGAGTGCCACAGGGTAGCATACTGGGTCCTTTGTTTTTTTCTGGTCTTTATTAACGACCTACCAGATTACTGTGTAAATCTTAAAACTATGTTCTTTGCAGACGATGCTAAATTCATCAGTTCTGGTCAGGCACAAGAGCAAATCCAAAGTGACCTAAATAATGTGTTTAAATGGGCCATCGACAATAATATGCCCTTCAGTTTAGACAAATGTACATATCTAAAATTAGGAAAAAATGCAAATGGTTTCTACTTCAACGGATTCAAGATCAAAGAAATAGACGTACAAAAAGACCTCGGCTTGACAATATCAAGTGATTTAAACTGAAATATCCACACAGACAATGCATGCAAGAAAGCAAACCGTGTATTTTTCATGATAAAACGGAATACAAACAATCTGAGCCGTACTGCAAAATTGAACCTTCATAAATCTATGGTAGTCCCAGTTTTAACATACACCAGCGCCTGCTATGGATTAAACAAACATGTCAGAAATGAACCTGAGACTATTCAAAAAAGAGTCGTCAAATGGATTTTTCCTGGAACATTGGCATACAAAGAAGAAATGCTCAATTGCAAATTTTACCGCTTCCCATGTATATATAGATAAATAATATTTTGCTGCTTTCAAAAATCGGATTAGGAAGATACGACGATATGCGTGTAAATGTGCCCATACTAACAGAGTCCTCTCGCGGTGTAATGTTTCAGCTGAAACGGCCTGAAAGCTGAACAAAATTTCTTCTATCAAACTTGCAGACTGGTCAATACTTTAATGATAGACGCGAGGGTTTATTGTGGTCTCAAACAGCTACTACTGAGGAAATTCTGGTTGAAATTTGGAGAATATATTGAAGTTGACAAGTGCACGTGGAAAATTGGGTGCGATTGTGCGGCGAACAACTGCCGCAGCAAGACGTACATATGATGGTACAATGAAGGGGCCAGATTTTCCAGTTTGAATATAGTGTTCATTTTGAAATTAGAGACCCAAAACGGAATGCAGTCAAGTTTCTCGCGGGATTGCGAATTTGGCCTCCCATTTTGTACCCAAATGGTTTTAGCTGACAAGATACAAATTTCAGGATTTCAAAAAAATTTTCAGAAAAGAGTTAGAAAAAAATTGAATTTTTCCATCCTGTAGTTGGGTACTGCTCAAATCCTTCTAGTTTTTTTTAATACATCCAACTTGACAATTCTATCTGTGCTATAATCGAGGAGGGTAGATTTTAATTAACAATTCTCTTGATGCATTAACATCGACTTGATTTATTCATAAAATTTTGCCGATGTATTTATATAGCGTTGGTACGGCCCTATCCAACTTGTGCACGTTCCGTCGCATGACCGAAGAGCTCATTTTGATTGACTTTTTTTTCTAGTTTTTTTTTAGATATGACATTTTTTAAGATTGTTCAAAATACTTTGATTAAAAATTCAAAAAATTTGAATTTCCCAATCTTTTTGATGGGTACTCTGAGAGTCTTCTCAGGGCTTGAGATACTTGTCTCCAAATTTGATAGCTAGGTTTTAGGTGAATTAACTTCCGTTGGATTCGTTGGCCGAAAAGGGTATTGCCAACAATTTGGATTTAACTATTTTATCTTCGTTTTAATACTTCCTAAGCTAGTTCAGTAGACGGAGGGATATAATGGATTGAAGCCGATTAGCCGGAAAGAAAGTGTGTTTGAGCATCCTTTTTAGAAAGAGAGAAACACAATGGCCCAATTTCATGAAAAGTTTGCACGCATTTTTGCAAAATCAATCTTTCATCCTATGCCGCTTAGGTCACATATGCTGTCGAAGCTTGCTATGTAAAGGAACGAAAGTTGAACAGATATAACTGAAGGAGTTGAATGAACCGAGTCATAGTGCTGGTAAAGCGCGCCATTATCAAAATTTAATTTATATCATTACGGCCTTTAAAAAAATTGTATTGGTTAAGTAATATTTTAAATGTGCTTATGGTTCTTTCAGGCTTTTATGCAAATTTGTCCATGAAAGGCAGCAGCTGAAACGTTTGAAGCCAGTGTTATTTGGGGAAATGATTTGAAGTCTTACGCAACTGAATAACTGAGTCAGCAAAATGCCTACTGGCATAGCTAAACCAGGACGTTACCGCTGCATTGCATTTTACCAAATTGCTTAATATGGTCTTTACAAACAGCTAGGGGCTCAACAATAAAGCATTTCGCTACTCGAGCTAGTTTATACCCTATTTTATGTAGAACTAACTAACTAGTGCAATCATTCTGTTATGAAGCCATAACCGTCACAAAACTAAGAGTCCATTAACTTCTATTTTCACCATTTCTTCTAACACAGATTCTATTTTATTTATTGAAATTTTCTATTCAAATTTGATTACCACCCGAAGTCTTTATTCATAATCATAAACAAGAATAGTTTTTGAGTCGATGAAATAAACAAGCACGCATATATCTTATCATGGCGACGAAAGAGAAAAAATCAGACGAGAATAAATTGACTGAAATTGAGATCGTGCAATCTGACAGGTAAATTATAATCTACCAATCAAATATATACAACTGTGCCAATACGTTGATCCCGTTTTAAAAGAGACCGAACATGTCAGTTAGATAAAAAGTATTCAATTAGTTATCACAAAAAGCAAATTGATACAGTAGTCATTGAGCTAATAAGAAATAGATATATACTTTTTCCAATCAGTATTTGAAATTAATCAGCTTTTGATCATTTACGGAATGAAAATCCGAGAGGATAGAAAGCACAACTTTCGTCCGCTATACAATCTACTTGAGGACAAGTACGAATGAAAAATTGAGAACATAATTAATTAGTTGTAGATGCTTTACAAAATTTCTTCTCTTATATTCCTCAGATTGAAGACCATTAAAACAAAGTTTAAAAGCATCTTAGCGTAATAGTGTTTTGTCAAACCTTTTTACCGGCTGCAGGAATGGGTTGAAAAAAAGTGTTAAGAATTTGGTAATAGTAATTGAAAAAAAAAATAGTTGCAAGTGCAGGATCTAAGCACACTAATTTGCCTTGTCAACTGAAACTGAGTAAATAAGCAATAAAAACAAGAAAACGAATTGTCTCTTAAGCATTTCTGTTTTTGATTCCAGAAGACGAGTGAGCGTAAGCAGCAGTATCAATAGTTCAACGGCGAGTGTTAGGAGACGTCTCGCGTTTCTGTGGCGCTGTTGCAAGTGCTGTTTCTGTGTGCCCTACAAATGCTGTAGATGCTGCTGTTGTCACAAGAACAGGTGTTGTTGCGGATGTTGCTGCCATGAGTACTATCACAGAAAAGTCCAGGTTTGTCTTCAAGGCGTATGTACAGTCTTTTTGCATGAAAGTATTTTGGAAAAATGTGCCTAATTTTGATAGTTATTTTTGTGTTTCAGACGGATGGTCTTGGTTTCGGATCTGGCTCGGTCTATCTCAAAGTGGGCAGCGAAGTAGAATCAACAGATCCACTGAAGAGACCATTCGATATTGACTCCATGGCGAAGAAAGAATCAGAAGTTTGGTGCCTTATTGTGTCCGAGTGCATATCTCCCCTGTGGCAGAAAGAGGCCAATGAGATGGGCATGGAGCAGTTCATAAACAAATTCTCAGACTCTGTTCTGAAGAGGAAGACACAAGTGAAGGACACTATGTCGCCTGCCTATGATGGACTGGAGAAGTTGCTGAAAGGAAAAAAGAATGACAGACAGATCACAACTGAGAAAGGTGAAACATACTGGACATAATTGCGATTTAAATAGGAAGGTTTTCACAGCTTCCTTTCAAGGACGTTCATATAGCTTAAATGGCGCAGTGTAAACAAGGAAGAAAAGCTCAATAAATTGTGAAATTTTATCTACTGTGACCCGCTATTTTATTATTCGAACCAAACTTTTCGAATTTTTTTAAGAGTCAATGAAAGTAGCTCAGACTCTCATGTAGGTCGTGGTGTTTTTTTTTCAGGAAGGCCCAAAATTTTTTCAGGTTTAAATTTACTTTTTTGCGGTTTTACTTTTGATTTCTTTTTAAATTCAGTACGCATCATTTTTTGTTTGTTGGCTTTTTTTACTTGAAAATTCGATAAATGAGATTTTTCCAAAAAAAAAGATTTTTTTTTCGTTTACTTGAGTTCATTCATTGACTCTTTTTGTACTTTCTGTTGGCTATGTTTGTAATTTTTAACGCATTTTGTACAAAATATATCTTTCTAATAAATTGTTGAGCGAACGCAGTAAACTTTAGCCTGAACTTGAAATTTGGATGTTTCAGAGCTGCAGATTCTGATATCAACTCTGGAAAGCAAGCTGAAGAACGAATCCGATCAGCCGTCGAAAGAAGATTCAATTAGACCCAAGGAGGCATCCAGCACTTTCAGCGGAAAGCCACTGCGACATACAGAACTGCAACCGACCGAAGTAAAAGTTGAAGTAAAGTCTTTTGAAAGCAGTTTTATGAGACCGGCTAAATCTCCTGTGGATAAAGACGAGCCTCTGAAGTCGACGAGCAACAGGAACAGTCTATTGCGGAAAGATTTCTTCGGACTACCAGAATCGGATGATGAAGGTCCAGAATATGAGTCATACGCAAAGAATGAAACTGCTTTGGGGCCGTATTCTCCAATTAAATCAAGTGAAAATTCCCCGGAAAAGGAAAAAGTTAGTTCACCCAAGAAGGAAACTCCTAATTCACCTGTGAAAGAAATCACGTCGCCAACCAGCAATAATGCAAGGTTATTGGTTGGAAGCAGCCCTCCTAAGTACAAAGGGTTTAGCAGCACGGCTGAATTCAAATATACAAAAGTTCCGATCACAGAGCCAAAAGAGCCAACAAATTTAGATGATAAGGTTACTACAACTACGGTTTCTGTAACAGAAAAGAAACTTAAACCAGCAGCAGCATCTCAAAGCGAAAAAAGAGAGCCATTGGTATCAGAAAAGAAGGAGGAACCGTCTCTGAGTTCTGTGAAAGTTGAGATGGTATCTAGTGGAAAGAAAGCTGAACTTCCTGTTGAGGTGAACGAAGTTGCTAAACCCAGTGTTGAGGCTGCTGTCAACGGTAGCGCGTCTGTGAATCAAAGGAAGGAGGCTGTGTTTGTGTCTCGGATCCAACAGACATTGGGAAGCGACGAGGGCGAAAAAGGAAAGGAAGATGAAGATGAAGAAGGGTCGTCCGGTTCTGAGTTTGAAACTGGGAGTAGCAGTAGTGAAGAGGAGAGTGAGACTATCACGACTAAGAAGATCACGAGGATCATTCGGGTGGATCCGAATGGGGAGAGGAAGGAGTTCGTCTATGAGGGACAGGAAGGAGATGACACTGAGAAGTTAATTGAGAAGGCATTGGCTGATTCGCCATATGGTCATACAGATGGCCATGACGCGAATGGAGGGATGGAACCGGTGGTCAAAACACAACGAAGGCAAGTTTTTTCTTGTTTTTAATTTTTCAGATGCTATCTCCGTTGCTTAAGGAGTTGTTTAGTTGGAACCCTTGAAGGCTAATGGAATAGCACTAATTGAGGATAATTGAATTCCAGTAAGATGTCCTAACGAAACTACAACACAGGTCATAGCCATCTAATTGTACAGTAACGTTTTTTATATATGTTTGAACATATTTGATATTTTTCTGTTTTGATTTAAAAAAATGTTGTTAAACGATTGATCCCATGATGATGATCGTGGTGAATATGGTCGTTTAATTTAGAGTGGTGTTGAAGAAAGAAGTGGTGAAGCGGACTGTGATTCAAGACGGAGACACGGAAGAGACAACGACAGTGGAGACGAAAAACGAAGAAGTATCTGACTCAGGTAACCAACTGGGACCAGGAGGCCAAAAGGATAGCACCACCGACAAGATCATACAACAACTGGAGAGAGAGTTCGCAGAAATGTAGAGCGAAAACTTACTAGGAGACAAAGCAAACGACAAAGAGAGAAAAAGGAAGAAATAATATAAGAAATCAGTTCAGTTAATCACGGAGCGATGAAGAAGATTGTTAACAGATGCAGTCAATATTTTTGAAATAGCTTTCTCATTTTGCGTGTTGTTGACTTGTGCAGTATTCTAAATTTAGTATTGTGCAGTATTCTAAATTTAGCAAGATAAAGAACGTTATGTGCTTTAATATTTGGTGAAGGATTTTAATTTGAGCTCATGGTCTAGCAAAGAAAACTCACTTTTTCAGCAGTAACGATTCAATTCAATTATTGTTCCGAACTTTGTATAAGGGCGTTTTATTTTTTTTTACATTTGTTTTCACGCAAAATCATCTACCACGAATAATCATCAGAATGGGTTGTGTGAAATATCATATTAAAGCCCTTTCAGTCGTGATTCAAACTTCCTTTAAAAGATTTGAAAAAAAAAATCAGTGTCGAGAAAAAGCGGTTTGAAATTTTTGTTTTTGGTCTTATTTCGAGCTAATACGTGAGAGTGCCGGCCTACAATAGCTTAATTAAGTTTAATTTGAGTCGTGAACATTTAGCTTCGCTCGAGTGAAATTGGCTTTCGGAATTCTTCAGCTCCACGCCATGTTGGAAATCAAAAACTTCAAAAATTAAAAAAAAAAATAAGAAAAAAGTTTGGTACATTTTTTTTACTATTTCTTTTTGTTTTTCTTGTCATTTTTGTACAAAAATTGTGTTCCAATTAGCCTAGTTTAGTATAAATGTCGAATATGCCTTTTATTTTTTGTCCAGATCTTTTTATCACGCCGCGCAGATAAGAAACGACGCTAATTTGAAAAATCTTCTTCTTTGTATTTTTTTTAAAGTCAATGGTCGGAACATTCTGTGCACAGTAAATGGCTATTGTTCTGATTTCAAATAGAAACAGAAACATGAATTATTTTATTGTGTTCACAAAATGTGACGCCGCCGCCACCACAAAAGAAATATGTTTTTATTCCCTTGCAAAAGGAAGGGAAATGCTATTGGAATAATTCGTATAACGTTTTAAGCATTGAGAATTGAAACGACTATTCTCGTTCAATGCGAATAATAACGATTCCTCTCGTAAAGTACGAGCATACGAAACTTTCTTCTCGTAAAATACGAATGTACGAATAGAGAATACGAAGTTAAGAAGTAACTTCTCATTTGATACGAAAAGTGGCGTGATTTCCCCATTTGAGTATAAATAGAAGCTCAAAACTACGGGAATTCATTCCCAACAATATCTCTTCTAACACCAACACCACTCTCTTCAACCACCCCCAACCAATCTCTAAAATAATATCTACTCTCAGTAAAAATATCTCTAATCTCACCGTTAAAATAGATATTGAGTCAAAAAGGCAACTTGCTGTAAATTCATACTAACTTCTTTTCTAATAAAATATTTCTCAGCGAATTTTAGATTTACTTTCAAAGATAGAAAGTAGAAAGGACCCTTTATTCCTAGCAAGCGTTTTGTCCGACGTATATAGTTTTGCTAGCGTAATAAATTGGTGCGACCAGTGAGGCAAGAGCAAATTTAGACGTTGAAACAATTATGCAAGAGCAGTGTAACGATACTGTAATCATAGATATCAGAAATTGCATAAAGCAAAACGAAAAGCCAGAAAGAAACAAAAAAAATCCTTATCGTGAAGAAAAAGGATTAAAAGCCTATATCAGACAGTTTGAATTATTATTCATTGAAGACCAACATGATCTTCTATGTATTAATGAATATAATGATGACTATACTAAGAGTCCAAAAATTTGCTTGCCCATCTGCCTAGTGCTAAACTGCTTTGAGTTAGCTCATAAGCATCCTCTTAGCGGTCATCACGGCGAAACAAAAACTTTGGAAATAATCAAAAGATATTTCTATTGGCCCGGACTCTATAAATGGGTCAACATGCTTCTTCATGATTGCCTAGAATGTCAGAAAAATAAGCCTAAACGAAAAGACCTGAATGAAGCTCCATTACAACAATGGGGACAATTAGAAACAATTCCAATGAAAACGATCCACATTGATCATAAAGGTCCACTTAGACCATCAAGTCACGGCAAAAACTTTTGCTTAGTTGTGATAGATGCCTTCTCTAGATATCTTCAAGTCTATCCATGCACCCATGCAGACTCTAAGGAAACCATTAAGCTCTTAGAGAAATACATCACAACATTTGGTATTCCACAACAAATTATTCATGATAATGGAAGTGCATTCATGAGTAATGACTTTGCTCATTGGTCCTCTGAATTGGGAATAACCCTGAGGCCAAAAACTACTTACTCGCCTTGGACTAACGGAAAAGTTGAAGTCCAGAATAAACATTTAACCCAGTACTTTCGACATTTCTTGAGTACCTCAGGCTCAAACTGGTCTGAATTAACAAGTAAATTTGCTTTTGCACATAACACCGCCATTAATTCAAGTACAGGTTACACTCCATATGAGATTGTCTTTGGCATAAAACCTCAGGTTCCCCTTAGCCTTAAATTAGGCCTCTACCGCGACCAAAACAAAAGATGTACCTCTGAGTTTTGCGCTGGTCTCGAAAACCATGCTCATACCGAGCATAAGTCAAACAATGAGACCATAGATAGATTTCTAAAAAATCAAATTTCCGCCGAAATACTAAAAAGGGAAAATGATTTTAAGTTGATTTATAGTAACACCTATACCCATTGCCGCCGCATCACTAATAAGGCCCACATGTTCCGAAATCAATTTAAATTAGGATGGCCTTTAAAAGAAGGCACAAAATGTTACTAGAAAATAGATCCAAACCACTATTGAAAAGTCAAAAGCTTTTGAATTTAAGATCTGGACCTTACACCGTAATTGAAAAAATCACGGAAGTAACATACGGAATTCAAAATGATTTCACTAACGAAAAAAAGATTGTCCACCGCAATCATATTGTTGAATACTTTCCTAAAGAACAACAAATGCCCAAGCTACTACAAGAGTACTCTAGTGATTTATTTTCAAGTGATTTTTATGATCATATAACAAATCATCAAATCGACTCTGATAATAAATCTAAACAGGTTGAAAATCTACAATACCAGTTTTGGCCAGTAGTCAACAATGGTTATCAGCAAATGACTGATCATAACCCTACAAATGAGGATCAAAATAAAACCATTGTACAAGAACAATCATTAGATTCAGGCAGAGAAACCATGCATCTAAGAACTTTGTTCGATGCGACTGCGATTGACCAGAATCTTAGACCTATTCGAAGTTCAACTCCTTATCCTGTTGATAAAACCCCTAATCCTCCAACTAGTCAATCTAGTAGTTATGGCCACCGCCGCCTACCTAGCCGCAGTATAAGTCCTAATACTAGTCTCGCAAATGACTTTGGCCGCCGCCACCAAAATATAACAACACAATATAATACTCCCCGTGCTCCTGATATCCCTCGTTTATCTGAATCCTCAGAAAGCTTTACTGATGGAAAAAATATCCCTCATAGCTCTCAGGAAAGCTTCTATGAGGACACTCGATCCGCACCTGGATCACTTACTGAATCCAAAAAACCTAAACGGACAAGTCGTCCTACAAACTTTTATGGAACTACAATTCCATCTAGTTTAATTGGCAAATTTAAAAAGAAATAAAAACACTAAACCATTTATTTGGCGCAACTAAATATTTTTTAAATTCTTTCTATTGGCCTTTTCTTTTTTTTCCTTCTCTCTTTCATAAATATTCCGTTTGTAATAAAACCACAAAACATCAAAAATAACATATTTACAAATAGATTTAAAAATAACTTTTAGAAAGATAAGACTTTATATCCGTGTAAGATTTGACTAGTTTAACAGCCGCCATCTTTTCCAAAGAGTTTTCAGCGGCCCTACTCCGGCTCCTCACTGCAAACTGCAGCGCTGAATAAGGCCGCCACCAAGCTTGATATATTTCCTCCAACATGATATCCAGCTCTATCTTTTTTCTAAATTCTTCCTCTGTTGCTGGCTTTCTGAAGAATTCTTCTTGAAACTAAAACAAATTTGTATACTATTTCTATGTTGCCATGCCATTTAAAAAAAAAATTTTAAATTTGGTGTATTGTAAAACAAACTTACATCCTCTCCAAAGAATAAGGACAAAAAGTCCATTGTTTCTTGTGAAACCACATGGTCTCCACTCTATGGGCTCCGTAGTTTCTTGGCGAAGAACCTACTCTGAATTGAGCCCAGCTCAAATAATTCCTCGGTATTCAGTACCGGATACTTAAAGATATAACTCCGGTCCATAAATATCATAAATTCCATAGGCGTTAAGTTTGCCCCTTTCTCTACTAGCCCGTCGTAGATTGCCACCCTTCTCTCGACTTCCTTGTCCTCCAGCAAGGCTTCATGTTTGAAATTTAGCTCATCCCGTAAGTTCAAAAACTTCTCCGGGAAGTCCACCAGATTATCTTCAGGATCGATAAAATTCATTCTGGACGAAGTAAAAAATTTTTTTGAGGATAAAATACAGATAGTTAAAACTGAACGGAAACCAAACAAATGATGTTGCTTTTAGTCCTCTTTTATGAAGAGATGTTTTTTTTCCTCCTCCAATAGGGAAGGGAAATGCAGTTGTTAAAAATTAACATCAGCATAAACGAATAAAAATCATTTCACTGCTAGATCTCAACAAATCAAAACTAAGTGGAAAAACCACGACATTAAACCAGAGTGGAAAAAACCACAACATTACAAAACGAATGGAGAAGGAATTACGACTTAAAAAGAGTCTTTTCCGAAAGACGCCGAATAACAACGGCCAATCAGAGCTTAGATTTGCAAAAAAGCAAAAACAGCCTTCAAAAACTAACTGATATACAGTTGTTTTCATTCTTGCTCAATTCCACATCTTGCATTCAAAACCTCCTCTCTCTCCAAAAAATAAATTTGCTGAATTCCTCAACAAAAATCGAAATCTAACTCAGATTTCCCATCACAAAAAATCCACAAAATGACTAATCCAAATAGTGAACTAGAGGAAAGTGAACTAATGGACCAAGATCCTGTTCTAACCACTCTCGAGGAAATGCTTAAAGTGAGTACTTTTAAAAATTCTTTTGCTATCATTCACCACCAAAAAATAAATTTGCAAAAAAATTTATTTGGTTGGTCTTTTAACTGTAATAATACTTTCGAATCAAACCTCAGCATTTGATCCGAAAGAACAATTAAATGCAAATACTGCAAGTAATCTTCGGGTTGCTCATTATGATTGTCAACTAATGACTTCTAACAAAATGTTCTCTCTAAATAAAGTAGCACCTTGCAAAGTCCAACCAGAAAATATTAAAGTAACCCATGCTTATGTTACTCTATATCAGACATTATCGCACAAAAGTAAATGCGACAATGTGTCGAATCAAACACCAATCAATGCGTTGGTTCTGCGATTCTTTTGATTCGAGTGGTATCGACGCTCGACAAAATATGATCACTACTGATCTCCATTTATCTGCCGATCAATGTAAATCGGCCGCCGACAGAGGCTATCTTAACCTAGGCTATGCTAGTATTGGAAATATTCCTTTCAAATTTAATGTTAAAACAGTAACTAATGCCCATGCTGGCAAAGTTGACGGCAAACATCATAACGAATGTGATGGC